TATTTAAGTAGACCCACTTTTTTATGGGAAGAACGTGCCTTCTTGCTTTCAACACTTTCAATAATCTCTTCTTTTTATGAAGCGTCTTGTTATTGCTGCCGCGGTTGTTGTCCTTGGTCATCGTCATACACACTTTTCATTTCCTTTCTTTTGTGTGTGTGTGTGTGTGTGTGTGTGTGTGTGCGTGTGCGTGTGTGTGTGTGTGCGTGTGTGTGTGTGTGTGTGTGTGTGTGTGTGTGTGTGCGTGTGTGTACTGCCTGTTGTATAGTAAATATGGGTCGTTCGTAAGGAGTGATCGATTTGTACTCGACACCATGAAAGTGTGTTCTTTGCTTCTGACAATGTGTTTCTTTGCACTATTCTGGAGAGCGATTTGGGCTCGTTAATGGTTCATCACATGGGGATGAAAAAACTGCGCTATGAAACGGACGAGGACTAACGAAAACTGTGTCGTGTCGTCCTTAGTCCTCGTCAGTTTCTTAGCGCTGCTTTTTTTTTCTCGATCAATTTCTTCATCCTTATTTATTTGTTTATTTATTTATTTTTTTATTTATTCATTTATTTGTTTATTCATTCATTCATTCATTCACTCATTCATTCATTCACTGTACTCGGTACCTATCATAACGGCGCCCCCCTATACTTTCAAGCTAGTCCTAAACGTTCAGCTGTATTCTATGCGGTATATTTTGCGAGCAGCAACAGAAAAATAAATTGCGTTCATAAGTATATTCACAAAAAGATAATTATGAATCTTCTTTTCTAAAAAAAAAACACTTCTAAGCGCGAGTGTTCAGCCCGCTGAAAAAAAAACATGATGTAATACTGGTCTCGACCGGGCTAGCTCCTCTAGCTCAGCCGTGTACCGCTATACCGCAAAATTACTTCGGTACACGTGTCCACATGCGCGTCCGAGTATTTTTCTGTTTTTAGTTTTCTTTCTTCGCGTCTCGTACATAAAATGATAATTTCTGTGTCAGTGCCCAACATAAGTGGACACTGGAAGGTAAGTCAACACTAAATCTTAAAAGTATGCGTATCATTAAAATAACGCAGTTATGCTCATTCATTACAGCACTTTGATGGTAGCTAAGGAATCGGCGTGTGTGCATGTCCCAAGCAGTGACATACATACGACCTGTAATTCAAAACAGAGCCTAGGGATAGGTTCATTTATCACCGCCATCTCTACCTCCTATGTTTTATTCTTTTTTTTTTTTGCGAAGTAGCACGCGTTACAGCCAATACACTTCGGCTGTAAGAGACCGTGACACCGAATAACCATCATCGAAACGGTACATTGAGAACTCTGATGTCTTTTTTTTTTCATTTACTCTCCATTTGGTAGTGTTATAGCCAGAGCAGGTGAGGAGATACGGGGAGCAGCGTATCTCTTTGGCCTACTGTCGAGCCGTTAGAGGAGCACCAGAAGCTCCCACGGCAAACAACGCCGATCTGGGACGCTAAAATTCTCCGTCATGAAGTACGGGGTGGCCGCGATCCATCACGTAAGAGAGGTATAACGATTCTGTTGACGTAGCTGGAGTGGACGTAGCGTGGCAGAGGCATGACTGGGTCGACTGTGCAGTCGAATGCTCGCACACTGCAGCCACAGTCTCCGAAGTATAGTCATGTCCGTCACGACGCTGTCCCGATGCACGCTGCTCGTCCTGGTCCTCCTGTGGTGCGACGTGTCGGCGGGACCAGGCCTCGACCCAAAGTTCCTCATGGAGCTGGCCAGTCAGTTCGACACGTCAGTGCTGACGCAGTCCTGCAGGAAGGGTATAACCACGAAGATTTGTTGCTAACTGCGGGGGGTTTTACGCGCCAAAAAAAAAAACACGACACCCAGTAAACCTGCAGTTTGCACCCTTAACCCTTTAGGACGCCACCTGTGAAAAACTCTCTGGAGATGCGCGAAATTGTGGCAGCATAAATTTAAGACCCTCAAAAGTGTATTGCAAACACAAATATTTTATAATAGATTAATTCTGTGAGTTTTATAGCAGTTAATATGAATTAAGCTTTAATTGAATATGTGCGTATTCCGAAGATATTCGTGTTTGGTTCTTGCATGTATAGAATCAAAGCTTCGAGTAGTAAAGTTGTGCAAATTGATTTCTGGTTTTGTTGATAATGAGAAAAGAATAAAAAAATTACGTGTTTCGACCTGGCTCCACAGAAGCGCCACGTCGAACGATTCGTCGACCATTGTATACTTTGGAAAAAGCGATTGTAGGCAACAGTTTGGTACAAAGTGACGTTAAATGAAGACTACTGGGCAGGAGGTTTATTTCGTCTAAACCTCATTGTTTCTTGCACTTTTACACCACCTAGTCGACACAAGTAGCAAAAACTAGTGATGTGCACAATTGTGTACAAAGCGTCTAAAAGGGTCGAGGGTGCTTTGCATGTTTGTAACTAACAAACTACAATAAGAGGGATTTGACTAACCAAAACGTCCACCTCGTGACTGTTTTAAGGTACCAAAACACCCATGAAATGGGTGTTTTGGTTTGTCATGTTTTATTTACACAACTAAATAGTACTGTATTGTTAAGCATATGATCAAAGCGAGTCAAATGCGTTTAGTAATGCAAAATAATGGCTTGTGGAAGTCATGCGCAACCTTTGAACTCGGGAGTCCACGCACTCATTTGTTGTACCGTATTTGCTCGCATAATTTGCGCACTTTTTTCTCCGATTTGGGGGCACCGAGAAGGGGGTGCGCAAATTACGCGAGGCTTTCGCCGGCGCATAAGAAATATTCTGCCATAGTGCTAACGTGCGCAGTATATACATTTACAAAAAAGAGATAAATTGGAGCACAAAAGAAGTGTACTTGTTAATTTTGAAAGAATTACAGCGCACTTCACCCAGCCAGATCCTGTCACGCTCGGTCTAGCGGAAATCAATGATCGCGAAGTCCGGTTGGGAATCATTTTATCTTCTTGAAGCTCTTGAAGCTTTTTATCTTCTTGAAGCTCTTTCTTGAATTCTTTCTTGAATTCTCGGAGAAACTAGGTCTTACCGACACGCGATACCGGAAGAACTAAGCGACCACCCACGATTGAAAGCGCCTCCTTCAATGGCAGGAAACATGCTTTCTCGTGTATTGGCAGCACCGATCATCAATGAAGTACGTCCCCTTGAAGTACTTTGCACCAGCACACTTCCCGTTTTCCTGGGCGAAATTCACAACAACGAGTATAATTTCGCCGTATATATAATTACTGCAGCACATCGCAAAGAAATCATCAGAACGAGGAGGACAGTTGGAGCACCAGGCCCTCAAACGCCTCTGATGCGGAAACTCGTCCGTGCCGTGACTTGTGCGTGCATTCTCGCTATTAGACAGTTATAGTTTAGCGTTAGCGTGGTAGCGTGGTAGCGTAGGTTAAGGGAATGGCGTTACCGTGCAGCAAACGTTCGTTGTGGGCAGCGTCTTACAAGTTTAACGGGATAGCGTTTACGTGGTTTACGTGCCCCAGCTGGGATGGTGGGGCCACCTATTAGGTGGTTAATAAGTTAAGCAGTGAAAATGAAAAGCAAACGAGAATGTTTGCCTACGCCACCACGCGAAACATGGTTAGAAGTTTATTTAGTGATAAAAGAAATAAATATGAACCACGCACCAAACGCGAAAACATCTAGGTTGCCGATTTGTTTACATCAATCTTGTAGTTAGGCCTGGACGCGTGCGAAATGGGAAGATATCTCAAGAACTACGCCAACTTATCCGTAATACTCGGTCATCGAAGCTAACTGAAGGCAAGCGAAGCCACTTGGAACAGTCCTTTGTTGCGAACAAGGTGAATCTTTCAACAACTGCGCCAAAATCGCTTCGAAGCGGGCGTCCGAGAGTGCCGCCGTGTTTACGTACACTACGTACACCTACGCTACCACGGTAACGTGAAATCCGAAAACTACCGCGCGTACGGAAAGCGCTACGGGTGACGTACGTATCTGCGCATGCGCACTTCGATTCCGGTATCACGGTACATCCGGTAAGCCCGGTATACTATAACTCTCTAGTTAGAAGATAGCGGGAGGCAACCGTTCGAACAGTTCCGGCGACCCGTCAACGGGTTCGTGTTCGGTATTCTGGGCACCCTCGTTCGGGGAAGTCCTCGGAAGCAGGGACTTCGCACTGGCAGCCTGTTTGACTGCGCTCGTCTGCTAGGCGAGGCGCGTACCCGGCTGAAGAATCGAAAGGACCAAAAAGAGCGCGCACCAGCGAGCTGGCTCGGGCAGCGCGAAATGTGCGAGTGAAAAGTTCTTTTTTTTTTTTTTTTGGAAAGATGGCAAATCATGCGAGGGCGCACATTGTGCAAATAAACACAATACATTGATTTGAGTACACCTGCTTGCTGCAAGGAGTAACGAGATTTTGTTCTGCTTTTTGGCTAAGAAAAGAAGCCCCGTAGGGCCTGCCAAAAATTGCCTCGGCCGACGGTATTTCACGTCGTCCCGGCGGGGTATTGGGAAAAGTTTTCAACTAGCAATAGTCGCCCCTCAGTTCACACTTCATTGGGTACGACACCGCCTCTGCGCAAAGCTGACGTTAACGACTGTTCCGAAGGCAACCTACTACAAGTAGCCACACTACATGCACTGGCTGTAGATGCGCAGAACTGGCAATTTGTTGAATCATTACTCATATTTATTAACATTTATGTACCTGAGTTGATTTCAATGCTTAAGCCAAGATTACTTTTATGTTGACTAATATTTTTTATTTGATTTTTTGAACAAAAATTGCTATAGCGTGTACGCAAAGGCACGTCAGTTTTCCGCAGCCACATTTTCACTTTTTTTTTTTGCATAGGTGGCGCCAGCTGTTTTAAAACATCACCGCTTGCCCGTGTTGGCTGGTGTAAAGGTTGGGTAGGGGTTTAACGGTACAGCTATTTTAATGAACTATAGTCTTACCTTTGAAACATACTGCAGTTCTAGAGTAAGTTGGAAAATCCTGTCTGCATTCAAGACACATCAACCGGGCGAGAATTCCGGAGAAATTTTAACTTGACTTCTCTCGATCCCATTGAAGGAGAGGCAAGTTTTGGTTCGCCATGTGCATCACTGCTTGAAAACTTGTATTTGTGATGTAATTGCTAATTACCACAGAACAGTGCCTAAATCATACATAGCATCCTGAAGGGCCCGGACAAGGCCGTATTATAACCACGTGTAACGTCAGCACTTCGTGGCTTCTACAAGCTGTCGGAACCGCATGCTCACAAGTCCCCAAGTGCCTAGGGGGCGGAGTGTTCTGGTTCGTCGTTGTCTTAGAGCCATCGTCTTCTCGGCTTAATTACGCAATAAATATTCATGATACTGTCATGAACTGTTTATAAGACACGATTTCGTGCCAAAAATGACGCTGAGATGTAGCGCACCCAGAGTTATTTTGTAACGCATCTCCATGGCACCTGCAAAAAAAAAGCGTTTTGTTAAATCATTGCTAACATTTATTATTATTTTGATAGCTAAATTGGTTTCAATGTTTTAGCCAAAATACTTTTATTTTTAATACCTTCATTTCATTGTTTAGAACAAAATTTGTTATAGCGGGTACCCAAAAGCATGTAAAGCATTTGTAAAGCCACATCGTACCCCGTGCACATCATTTTCTCAATTGCTGGTCTCGTTGTGGTTGTCGGTACATTCATCAACCATGCTGTAAAAAAAAAGCATAGGCTGTGCGCGTAACAGTGGCCGTTTCAAGCCATCTTAGAATGCGTACTGCAAGTACAGTCATCAGGTTCCCGCAACGCCATAATTCTTTAGAAGATCAGTGAGGGACCCACAATGCGTCCGTGAGGCTGCACGTGAATTTGCCCATCTTGTCAATTTGTTCTGCTCCGTAGCTAAGTACCGGCAAGATAACAGCTGTTGTATACCTTCCTCTTGAGGGATAGTGGCAATCTACCAGTCATGGTTTCAGAGTGCTTGCCAAATGTGTTCCACCCCATTCTTATTTTTCTAGTTACTTCAATCTTGTGGTTGGGCTCCACGGTTATTACCTGCCCTAAGTAGACATAGTCTTTTACAACTTGAAGTGCACTATTGCCTATCTCGAAGCGCTGCTCTCTTCCGAGGTTGTTGTACATTACTTTCGTTTTCTGCAGATTAATTTTAAGACCCACCTTTCTGCTCTTCTTGTCTAACTCCGTAATCATGAGTTGCAATTCATCCCCTGAGTTACTCAGCAATTCAATGTCATCGGCAAAGCGCAGGGTACGCGGGTACTCTCTATTATTTCTTACCCCTAACTCTTCCCACTCTAGGCCTCTGAAAACCTCCTGTAAGTACGCGGTAAATAGCATGGGGGAGATTGCATCCCCCTGCCTTACACCCTTCTTAATTGGTATTCTGTTGACTTCTTTATGAAGCACTATGGTGCCTGGAGACTTACACTGAAGACTTAAACCTGGAGACTTAAAAAAAGGGGGTTTAGCTTAAATTGAGAACGACGCAACGAGCAATGAAAAGAAAAATGGTAGGTGTAACCTTAAGAGACAAGAAGAGAGCAGAGTGGATTAGGGAACAAACGGGGGTTAAGGATTTCATAGTTGAAATCAGGAAGAGTAAATGTACATGGGCTGGGTATGTAGCGTGTAGACAGGATAACCATTGGTCATTAAGGGTAACTAACTGGATTCCCAGAGAAGGCAAGTTGGTTTGGGGGAGACGGTGGACAGATCAGATAAAGAAGTTTGCGGGTATAAATTGGCAGCAGCAAGCACAGGACCATGTTAACTGGCGGAACATGGGAGAGGCCTTTGTCCTGCAGTGGACGTAGTCAGACTGATGATGATGACGATCAATTTATTGAGGCCCTTGCAACTGATAAAGATTAAATGTGCCTGAGCGCTTTGTAATGAGTGGGCCTTTAATACACCCACTCAGTGCGCGATTCGCATCGTTTGACTCCCGGCACGGTACTATCCTTATCGCAAGAAATATTACATGCGCTATAAAGAGGCTCCTTCAGCAACATGGCAGCGAGTGCGTCGTTCAGTGCTTCCAAGCCATCGCCGAGGGCTCAGCCACAATTCTTTGTCGTCGTCGTTCACACCACAAACATGGTGCACATAATATTTTGCAGATGTGTAGTGGGTACCACACTTCTCTGCAGAATGACGCATAAAGGTAAAATTGGTGCTTCCCGACTTTATAATTGTTATGACGATTTATGGCGTAGTGGGTACCGTGCTTGTGCACCTCTGTTCCTACAACCACGAGAGAGTCAACAACGTACTCAGCTGGAAAGGCTGTTCTTCCAGCTTTCGCCGCGACTGTGCTGCATGGTCCGCGTAGAGCGTGGGTGATTTTTTATCCGAGGCATTTTCGTGCAATGACGTCACCCGATTGCCGCCCATATGCCCTGGGTTCGATTCGCAATCGAGTCGAAGATATTTATTGCTTATTTTCGTCTACCTTGAACTTCAGCACATGTACAAGGCTGATTTCTCGCTCACGACCAAAGATGCTGACACCGATACCAAAATTTTCGTGAAACGAATTCTTTAACGATATCGCGCGAAGGCATGTGCACGAACGAGGACGACTATACCGTACTAGTTTTATTGGCAAGGTGGCGCACCCATTTGGAATCTGGCTGCTTCAGGAGCCGTATACTGTAATTTTCAAGTCACTAAATCCTTGCCATGGTTACTAAGCGTCGTATACTCCTCACGTTAGTTCAGCGCGGATAAGTGTAAATTGCTCTTATGAATTTGATTGATTTATTGAGTAAATGATTGATTGGTTGATTGATTGGTTGATTAATTGATTGACATTTTGCATATGCTGCTAGACGAGCGAGATTTCGTTTGCGCGCCGTTTTACATCACCGTTTTACGCCGACTGTAACGAGCAAAAACGGGGCGTGATGACAAAAAAGAACAATTCAAGCACTGATTGATTCACCCTTCAGCAGCGGTGGATACGTTTCTGTACGCAAATTGTTTATGCTAGCTGTGTGTAGTTGCGGCCAAAATAAAGCAGGATTTTTTTACTTATTATCCTAATGGAACCTTCTGCATAGTCGATATGTATTGTCTAATCCTCAAAGCAGTGCGTATACTGTAGCTGACCACTCTCGTCAGGGCACTACTATATGCGACGGCTGGTTTGACGCACCGCGTTCCAGAACCAACGTCAAAAGTAATACTTTTCTAAGAAATGATGGCGCACATATATTCGGAGCCTTTTATTTCATTCCTTTCATGTCAAAAATTAAACGTGACTGGGTGCAGAGTGATGAAGTGCTTAATTACATGCTAATCACAGCTCTTTGTTGATACTCACGAGACGACTCGTTTGTCATTTTCTTCCTCGGGACGTAAGACTTAGCGCCTTAGAATTACGTGGATTTAGCGCTTTCGTTGACAGTGTATCATAACGAGCGCCTGAGAACGATGTAGGCGCGGGGTAGTGTGCCGAGAGTATGTGCGCATGTCAATTGTGCAGTGATGGTAGCCCTGGCTGATACACAGACACAGTACGTATTCTCACTGCAATGACTCAACGTCCACTATAGACTCCCTATGTATTCGCACGATCAGTAGCTTTATTTCCTAAGGCCTCTTGCGACGATGGTTGTAGCGCGAGAACAGAACGACGACGCAGAGACAAGAAGGACACGAGCGCTCGTGCCCTTCGTGTCTCTGCGTCGCCGTTCTGTTATCGCGCTATAACTATCGTCATGTCATACCAACTAGCCTAAGCTGCCACGCCTCTTACGAGCAGGGTTTCAACATAAAGTTTCCTAAAAATACACTAGGGGGAACTTTGGCGCTAGTGTCTATGGGAGCTGCAATGCATGGCGCTTCAGCGAGCATAGGAGTGCGAATTTGTCTAAACTTCGTTCTTTCGGCTCCGTTTAACTCCGTATCGTCTGCATCCACATTGTCGCTTAATGAAGTTCAGCAAACGTTCGGCAATTCCACTTACACCTCTCTAACCTTTTTAGGCTCACGAATTCAAATGTTGTCTCGAAGTTCACAACGGCCTCTTCTTTTATCCACAAAGGGACGCCAAAACACGGCAACAAACAAATACATAGATGCGTGCGAAGCCATAGATTATACCACCATTACCATAGTGCCTGAATAATTGCAGTGTCAGAGTCCCCTCTAGTAGAGAGAGAGAGAGATAAAATGCAAGGAAAGGCAGGGAGGTTAACCAGACGCACATCCGGTTTGCTACCCTGCACTGGGGAAGGGATAAAGGGGAGAAAAGAGGTTGCAGAAAGATGAGAAGGTACACACAATCACGAGCACACTCGGGGAGCACACACAGTCTACAGGTGGTCGCTCAGGTTTGTTGACTTAAGGTAAGTAGCAGTGCTTTAGTTGCTTTCTGCGCAACTGAGGCAGATGCCCAAGGTCCTAGTATCTTCTGCACACAAAATGGTCCGGGGTCAAGTCGATTCAAAACCATCCGGAGCTGGCGTCGCTGTGTGTCGTAGCAAGCGCAGCTGCACAGAACGTGTTCGATGGTCTCTTCAGCTCCGCAGTAGTCGCATGTAGGAGTGTCTGCCATACCAATGCGAAAAGAGAGTACACCTTTGTAAATGCAACACCCAACCAAAGGCGGCATAACAGTGTCGCATCGGAGCGGGAAAGTTGTGATGGTAGCTTTAGCTTGAGCGAAGGATCCAGTTCATAAAATTGACACCTTTGGAAGCTGGTAGACGACCAGAACGTGCGTGTGAGATCTCGAGCCAGCAAGTAAAGTTGTCTTGCTGCATCATTCCTTGATATAGGAATCGGGACAACACGGGTTTCTTCATGGGCTGAGCGGGCTGCCTCATCGGCTAATTGATTTCCGGTAATACCGATATGTCCAGGCAGCCATTGATATATAATATCATGCCCTCGTGCTAGAGCTTCATGATGGCAATGTCTTATTTCTTGTACCAGTTGGTCATGACTCCTCCTACGCATGGCAGACTGCAAACTCTGAAGCGCTGCCTTCGAATCACAGAATATGACCCATTTTCCTGGACGTTCTTGAACGAGATATTGTAAAGCAGCCCTTATAGC